CCTATCAAGGCCTGAACATGCCCCTCAGCCTGAGACACATCAACGGTCTCCCCCAGCCAGGTCTTGGTCAGCCAGCAGCAGTGAGCCACTCTGCAGTGGTCCACCCTGGGCTCTAAACCCAGAGCTGGGAGGTAGCAAATGTCCCCTTCTGAGACAGCTTCTCTCAATGCCAGGTTTCGCCCCAAGTTTCCTCTGGGTTTTTGGTTTGTTTTTGGGTGGGGAGGTGAAAGAAGGTCTGGGCATCTAGCTGCATGTTGGGTACCATAACCCCAGGGTCAGCTTGGTTAAGATGGTTTGGCACTTTGCTCAAGGTAAAAAGTCTTGCTTTCCTCCCTGTAAGCTCTGAGCAGGCAGATTCCATATCTATTTATCCTTATACTAGAGGCCTGGTGCACGAAAATTCGTGCACTGTGTGTGGGGGGTCCCTCAGCCCGGCCTGCCCCCTCTCACAGTCTAGGAGCCCTCAGGGGATGTCCTACTGATGGCTTAGGCCTGCTCCCGTGGGGAGGAGCCTAAGCCACAGTCTGGCCTCCCTCTGCGGGAGGCAACCAGACAATCAGGGGAAGGCGATGCCCCCATCACGCCTCTGCTGCTGCTGCCGCTGCCGGCCACCACAGCTGCCTGAGCCTCAGGCCTTCCCAGTGGCAACCGCCATCTGCGGTCTGCCTGAGTCTGGGGCAGCTGCTGTGGCTTTGTCCGGAAGGACATCTGGAAGGACGTCTGGAAGATGTCCATTCTAATTAGCATATTACCCTTTTATTAGTATAGATTCCCAGGGCTGGGGACACAGTAGACGCTCAACAAGTATCTACTCACTTGAAAATGCACACAAGAGCCCTAACAGGTTTGGCTCAGTGGATAGAGCGTCGGCCTGTGGGCTCAAGGATCCCAGGTTCGATTCGTCAAGGGCATGTACATTGGTTGCAGGCACATCCCCAGTAGGGGGTGTGCAGGAGGCAGCTGATTGATGTTTCTCTCTCATCAATGTTTCTAACTATCATAAAATATATTAAGAAAAAAAAATCTTGCCTTACGAAAAACAAAAGAAAAATGTTTTTTAAAAAATTGCACAAGGCTGGGCCATTACTCATGTGATTCCCAATAGCCTACCTGACCAGGCTCTGTCTCATTACCCCTGTGGTCCTTGGGAAGGAGGAGAAACATCCCCCCCGCATGTCCAAAGCCCCTCCTACTCTCAGGTACTGATCTGGGAAGTGTCAGAATAGCTACAGGTCAAGACTCACACTTCAAATACTCTCTAGGCCCAGAACCTGTCACAGCGCGAAGCACCCAGGAAACATTCAAAACATGTTCCGGGGGGAAAAGAACACATCTCCATTCTAGGCCAGGAGAGGACCCCAAAGCCATCGTGTCCTGACTTCAAAACAGACCTGACGAAAAGTCACCTCTTTTGCTAAAAAGTCCTCCAGTCTTTGCAGTGTCCACCAGTAAACCCCCAGTGTTCAGCTGGTTGGTACTGGGAAGGGCGAGGTCATATTGATTCCAAGTCTCTTGCTATACAAGTTAAAGTCCAAACACTCAGCACTGCCTCTATCATTTGGTCTTCCTCATGTCCCATGCTCCCTACTGTAAATTATTACGGTTCAGTCTTGCCAAATTCTTTGTAATTCCCCCAAATAAGCCATGTCCTCTTTTTCCTGCAGATTCCAGCTTGTCTCTTCAGAACAGTTCCCCACAGTGTGCGGCTGATACTATAAGCTTCTCCCTGCCTCCTCCAGGAAGCATTCCCTGACCACTCCCGTCCATCCTTTTCTGATGTCTCTCATCATCTTCAATCCATAGTTGTCACTCAGCTTCCTCTCTCTCCCTGGCATCCAGCAAGGAGAGACAACCCATGCAAAAGTGGTGGAAACAGGACAATGGCACCACACTCCCAGAGAAGATGGGATGGCATGGAGGCTTAGGGGAGCTGAGCTCCTCCTGCAGGCAGGAGCCAGGAGTCCAGCTCTAGCTCTAGCCAGCAGACCTTGTCAGCACCCACCCCCACCTGCCCTAGAACTGAGCACCTTAGGAGATGGCAGACTTTAAAGAGACAGCACAGGGCAGGTTCCACTTCTACCTAGCAGGTCAGATCTTTAAAAGGCCCACAAAACTTTCCTGGCTCTAAGAAGTGCCAGACAGTGCACTGGAGACCCAGAGAGGGGCCACAGCCCTTGGGGAGGGGCGGGGGGCATGTGAAACAAGCCAAGAGCAGTAACATGACGAGTGTTCCTTACTCCTAAAGGTGCACCACAAGCCAGGTTCTGTGCTGGGAGCCTGGCACATAGCATGGCTTTCATGCTCACAGCAGCCCTGTGGGATAGGCATTGTCCCCATTTTGCAGAAGAGAAAGCTGGGGCTCAGGAAGAGTCGGCGGCTTCCCCGGAGTCTAAGGGAAGAGTTCTACTCTAGCTTCAAGCATCTCAAACTTGTAGCAGAGAGAGCTCATTGATCCTCACTCAAGTGCGTGTGCGCTCTCGGAGCGAGGCCGGAGCGGTGCACCCTATAGGGACACCCAGGTGGTGCAGGCTCAGAACCTTTGTGAGGAGCTCGTGGGGATCACCATGCTTTTCTCAACCTCGGGACCTTTGCGCCACCAGGTCTCCCCCACAGGTGAAGAGACAGTGGCATTCCTAGGAGAAAAAACCTGGAGCTCAGGAGACAGGACATGACCGGGCCACCCAGGACTAGGGCTCGGGCCTCCTGACTCAGACACAGTGCACCTCCTTCCAAGTAAGGCAGCTCCCGGAGTTCCTGGGGCTGGAGCCAGGTGCTCCCCCAGGTCTTCCTCTGTTGGCCCTGCCCCTTAGGAGGCCCTGCCCCTCAGGAGGAACTCTGGGACCTGACAGGCAAGGGAAGGGGAGGGCCAAACCCAGGCTGAGGAGAAAGGTCTGGGATCCATGCATGGCTCCTTGCCCACAGGAAAGCATTAAAATTTCCCAGGGGCAAGGCGGTGGATTCTGTCATTAGGTACCAAGCTCAGGTTTGACTGGTCCTCTCTCCAGGCCCTGACTCCACCAGTTGTTCCTATCCTGCAGGCCTGAAGTGTCTCCTCAGAGTGCAGGAAACTTGCTGACACCAGGTGAGATAGCACACACTTGTGGCTGTTGTGATGTCACCAGCATGGAATCAGGGGCGGGCAGTGTCAGTTAGAATCAAATCTGAGCTGTGAGAGCTGGAACAGACTGTGGAAAACATACAAATCCTCTATTACGTGGGTAGGGAAACCGAGACTCAAAAAGGTGTTAATGGTCATGTGAACGATGGCACCGTGACAGCCCATGGAGCTCCAAGTCCAGTGATCTCTCACACCACTCGGCTTTTCTGCAGAGGGTGCCCGGTGCTGCCAGAGCAAGGACCCGAGGCGTAGAATTCAGCCGTTCCGAGCCACAGACAAACCTGCTGACACAGTTCGGCACTGGTCTCCTTTTAGGTGGAGAGATTGGGTGAGGGAAGAGATGTTTCTT